AGGCCGCGGGTCAGGGCTTCTGCGAGCCGGCGCGGCGTGGGCAGCGATGAAAATGCCCCCGCGCCGGTCCCCGGAGGAGAGCCGCGACGCCCGGGGCTGGGAAGGAAAGCGCAAGAACAAACACCGCCCCTGCACAATTAGGGCGAAGATGACGACTGCGAAGTAGTTGCGTAACGCGGCCGGGAAACCAGGCTCTCCGAGGTCCACTGCCGCCTCCCCCGCCCCCGGCCACGCCGAGGGGCCGCCGCCTGCGCGGCTGCCCGCAGGGTATGAGGGTCCGAGGTCCGGGGCACGCCCATGACATTCGGTTTGGTGCTCAGGGTCTCCCGGCGATCTTGAGCGAGTAGTCCTTTCGCGTCGTCTCTGCCCCGAATGGGATGCGATTTTCTCCAAATTCCCGGTCTGTGTAAGAGGCCGAGCGCCCCAGGCAGCGCTGGGGCCCGCAAAGGCACGTGGCAGACGCACCAACGTTTGCAGGCAGCAGAGAGGCGCCCCGGCTGGCTGCGCCTGTGCGGGGCCCCAGTGCCTCTACCCCTGCGTTTCCAAACTCTCCTTAAAACAAAAGAAGCAGACCCCAAAGGAAAGTGGGGTGAACAACATCCAGGGACCATCACAGGGGTCCACGTTCAACAGAAAAGCTACTGGCTGAGGCGGCTCTTTCTCGGGTCCCCATTCTCCTTCACGGTTTACACCCTAAGTACCCAGGGAGATGTTTTCAAAATATCTATCACGTACCAGTGGGTTTTTGGAAAGCTTCCCAGACGTCCTAGTGATGCCGTTCAGAGCAAACTCCCATTCCCAATTTATCTGGTGAAGTGCACCTTCCCAAGCCACCTGCCTAGGGGCCCAGTTCCAGACCATCAAATCCTGGTTGTGGTGGCGGAGCTCCACTTTTCCCCTACTTACTAATAGTTTTTCCTTCCCCAATCAATTGCAATGCCTATTTATAGCATTGAAACCTCTCAGAGAAAATCAAAATCATAAGTTGCTGATTTGGGGGGCTCAGAAACAGTTCTCAGAAACCCACAGCTGCCCTGCGTGGTTTCCCCTCCCTTCTCCCACATGTCGCCTGTATCATTTCTTCATTTGGAATCATTTCACAGAACCCTAAGCTGCTGTAGCGGGCAGTTACCGTCTTTACACAAAGCCACTTAGACCTCTAGGCCGGCAGGAACATGCCTGCATCCACGCAGCACTGGTAGTGGAGGAATTCTCTGGGTCTGGACACCTGTCCTTTGTGGCGAACTGGGAAACCTGATGCTCCCTCCAATGGCTCGGAGTATTTCAGATTGTGACTGTGTGGTGACGTGCATCAGCTTCTATTACTGTCTGACTTGTAAGTCAGAGGAAGTGTGAACGGTATCTGCGATACCAGCTTAGAAAGTAACTCTTTAGCTCCTCCTGGTGATTAGGAACCACTACGCAGTATGATGAAGTATCTGTCCCCAGGACCTGAGTGGCTATGCGTCTAATATTATACCCTAGACTTTCACAGCGCAGGCAAGTATTTGTGGATTGACCCCAGCAAATGGAGCATAAAACTTAAGATACTTGAAACAAATTAACCAGGGAAGATGGGCTTGTGCCTGGTTGCAGATCCCAGCTGTGACCAGGTTCTTGGGAGGAGGAGTAAGGGTTCTGGTTGAAGGAGGGAGTCAGACTCTTGCTTTCTGCAGCCTGTCCCCCTCAGTGATGGGGGTGGGGCCAGGAGGGACAAGAAAGGTGGGCAGGAGAAGGCAATCTGCTACATTCTCTTCCATTGAAAAAAATGTTTTTAATGTCAGAGAGTGTGCCTGCATACATGTGAGAGAGACAGAGAGAGAGAGAGACAGAGAGAGAGAGAGAGCCTCCCCAATGAGGCCTGATCATGCCATAATCCTTTCTCCTCTCATTCTCCATTCCACGAGGATCCTGGGCTCATAGGCACGCTTGCTCACACACACACATCCAGTGTGTTTTTCAGGTGTCGGGGCCAGGTCTAGAACCCAGATCATCCACACAGGATCCAGCTTCCTCCACGTAGCACTAAACCCCTGCACTGCAGGGCTTGTCCTCCTGCACGTCGTTTCTCCGCCAACATGCTTTCTAGCTGAGCAAATACAAGAGCTGCGACTCAAGAACAAACCTCAGGCTGTGGCCTCCCCTAACCGGGGCGGGAAGAGCCCTACCACTGCAGAATGTTTCGAACTGGAGAAATCCCTGTGTCCAGAGGCTTCTGCACCGAACCACATGGCAGGGGGAGCTGCAGACCAGTATGCCTCATGAGAACTCAGGAAGTGAGCTGTGCATGGACCCCATCTAAGAAGTCCTCACCCCTCAGCTTTTACCAGTTGCTGCAGCTCTGGGACACAGTCCCAGGAACCCATGACTCCAAGTTTTCAAAAGGGACTTGATATTTTGGGGGGCAGGGAGAGGCACAGTGGTAACAAAACCAGGCCCCTGTTCTGAGTACACACAGGTGTGAGTGCACCTGGATCTCTCTCATGGAAGACAGAAAAGACTCGGGACCAGCAGGTGGTGCAATGGTTACGTCGCTGGACTCTCACGTAGTCGACCGCGGTTCGCGTCCCGGACCCCGTGACTTAAAACTCACTCCAGGCGCGTGTGCGTGCGTGCCCAAGATCCCAAGAGGAGAATGGAGAAGAAGGGATTGCAGCATGGCCATCCCCCTTCGGGGTGATTTCTCACTTTCTGCCTCCCTGTCTGTCCAGAGGAGAAACAAGTGCATGTGCCCCATGCCAAAAACCTCTAAATCAATAAGTAAATGGTTGAATGGATGACTCGAGGGCTTACCGGACTGGAAGATGGGGAGTTTGCCTGAGAATGTCCCAGTGCGGCAGACTCAGTGGCTGATAGGCAAGCTCTGTTCCAGACAGCCCCGTGTCGGGCCACTCCGCCTGCTCTGTCCTGTACGCTGGGCTTTGGACTTCCTCTGTGGGAAAGTCGTGCCACCTAAAACCTTTGGCCCGATCTGGCCTGACAGCCCGCATCAGGGCTCCTGTTTGCTGGGCCCGTCCTTTTTATGCCTATCAACCATTTCATGGCCTTTTCTTAAACTTCTTGAAAAGAAGTTCGAATGATTCTAGGGACGCATGGGTGGTGGGCAGTTTTGTTTTCAAGTTGAGGCTTTACACTACGAGCTAGTGTGGCAGTGGTTGCCCAGCTCTCGGTCCCCATGCCCATGAGCGTGCGGTTATCTCGGTATTTTGGCTTTGGCCTTGAGTCATTGATGGGTTAGAAGAAACTTTCTGGAGTGGTTATTTCTTCCTTTTATGTGTTCTCTCTCTCTCGTTCTTTCATTCTTTTTTTTTTAGAGAGATTTTTGCCATACAGTGTGTGCACTTGCTGGAAAGACAGAGAGAAAGCGAGAAATCACTCCCCAGGAGAGGATGGCCATGCCGTAATCCCTTCTCCTCTGTTCTCCTGGGATTTGGGCACACACACACACACACACACACACACACACACACCTGGCGTGAGTTTTAAACCACTGGATCTGGGACTCAAACTGCAGTCAACTGTGTGGGAGTCTAGCCACATAACCATTATGCCGTCTGCTGGTCTCTGTTCTCTTCCTCTCTCTTTTTCCTTGTCCCTCTCAGAAGGTGAGTGTGCTCACCAGAAAGAGAGAAAAAGGGAAAGTAAGAAAGCACCCCCGCTCGCCGCCCTGCCCATGGGGAGCTGCACAGGGCAATCCCTCCTCCTCCGTTTCCCCCTCCTTTCAGGGTTCGGGCACGCACA